GCGGATTGTGGACATGGCTGCGTGGGGGAAAACCACCTCCTTGCGGGATCTCAGATATTAATGCTTTTACCGAGGATTTTTCCAAGGTGCTTAATGGTACAGGAGAGACGAGGCAATGCCGCAATGAGGGTATTTAGTTTAGATGGCTGGACGAGGACCAGGTGACGCACAGACGGGAATTAGCTGCTTGGCTTAACAAGGATTTTACGGAGGATGAAATTGCTAGTGGCCTTAAGGCTATGCGCAACAATAAGTCCGCGGGCCTGGAGGGAACCCCGGCCGAGTATTATAAGTATGCTATCAGGGAAACTGAAGGGCAGCAACCCGTGCTTGTGTTGGCGCCTTACTTAACGGTGCTATTCAACCGCATATACGGAGCTGAATACCCGAGGGAATTCATGACTAGCACCCTGTCCCCCGTATTCAAAAAAGGGGACGTGTCTTGCTGTGACAATTACCGGGGAATCGCTGTTGGGGGTCCCCTGAGCAAACTTTATGCCAATGTCATAGGGAGGCGATTAAATAATTACTGTGAGGGCAATAGGCTACGTGCCGTTAGCCAGGCTGGATGTAGGCATGGTTTTGGCACCGAGCATCACTTGTTTACATTAAGGCATCTTATCTCGAAGCACACTGTGGCCGGAGCCAGGCCGCTTATTATCATGCAAATTGACTTTAGTAAGGCGTTCGACTCCGTTGACCATGAGACACTTTGGGATTTCCTAATGTCGTATGGGCTACACGGGCGCATCCTCGATTCTTTAAAGGCTAGCTATGCTGACGTGAAGTTTCGGGTCAAGTTAGGAAATAAGTTGGGACCTGAAATCAAGGTGGGGCGTGGTGTTAAGCAAGGGTGTCCCCTTAGCGTAACCCTTTTTGGACTCTTCATAGAAGTATTCGCTCATTATATTGATGCCCATGATGCTAATTGCCGTGTATGCCTCCCCAGCCGATGGAGCACCCTTCGTGAGCAGAGTGTTAGCCTGGCGGGCGGTGATCTCACTAACCTACTTTTCGTTGACGATGTGTCACTGGTAGCGACAGGGCACGATAGAGCTGAATGCCTTCTGGGGCTACTCGAAGCCTACTGCAAAGCGACGGGTATGGCCGCGAATGCCGCCAAGTGCGAGGTCCTCATTTTGCGGCTTGTTGAAGCTGAGTACCGGTTAGGTGGGGCGGGGTTGCGGGTGCTGACCGGCAACGAGACGGCACGGTATCTCGGGTTGCACTATGGCCCAGGAGTGCAGTTCTCAGCATGTACCAAGCAACTACTCACAGCAGGGAGGCGGGCCACATTTGGGCTCAGCACCCTGTGTCGTGATAAGAAAATTACCACCCCCAAGCTATGTATGTCTCTCTACAATACACTAGTTGTACCGGTGTTTTCTTATGGAGCGCAAGTTTGGGGACCTGACTTCATTAATGTGAATTTTGAAGGTGCTATGGCTAATCCCATGGTCCAGGAACAACGTGCTTACATGCGAACCATAGTTGGGGCGAGGAGCCCGACTATGGTTTCCCTATATCGCGAGCTGTCACAGAGGCCACTCCAGTTCCATTGGACCAATCTTGTACTTAGGTTTTGGAACTCTGTGGTTAAGAGGCCGGGAACGTTGTGTCACCGGGCATTTGTCGCTGACCTGGAGTTGGCAATTGGGGGCGCCACTGAGTGTTGGGCAAGCAAGGTACTAGCGTTTCTTACTAGCTTAGGAGTGGAACCCCCCACTAATACGCGCGGTAATGATCTTATATCGTACTACACCACCCTTAAATTGCCAGTCGAGAGCATTCTTAAGGTTTTTGCCAAGCGGCTTGATGCTCGGTGGGAATGCCCGAATACCTTGGGTGACCCCTGCGTCTTCCCCATACTATGGAATTACCGGAGCCAAGGCGTGTCGCTATATGAACTGGATGGGAGCTGCCCCGTCAAGGGGTGCGCGTCTTGATTGGTTGGAGCACACTAAAGGGACCATGCCCCAGCGACTTCATCATGTGCTCATGCGTTTTCGGTTAGGCTGTTGAGAGTTAGAGGTTAATAGGCCTAATGGGTGTGAACGCACCGTGCGTACCTGCAGGCTTTGTGACTGTGGAGCGGTACCGGTTGAAGATGAGTTGCATGTTTTCGAAGAATGTCCCGCTTACAAGAGCATACGGACTAAGTATGATGGTGACCTAGTCCTTACGGGGCGCAGCATGCGCACCACTATGACTGAGGCGCCACCCCTGGCATTGGCCAGGTACCTCTCGGAAATCTGGGAGGCCAGGCACGTCGCGCTGAGGCGCTTCACCCTGAAGCGGACGAGGGAGAATGAAGATGACCTCCCGCGTACCCGCATCAATACCAATACAACGTCCATGGCCCCCCCGGCTTTTACGGACACACCCGCACTTGTGTGCGGAACTTGTAACTTGTAACTTGTAATAACGCGTTTCAGCCGGGTGAAATATTATGTTTGGTCCGTTACACACTCAAGGCTTGGGAGTTCGAGTTATCATACGCCGTCATCTAAGAATTCAATCATGAGATACGCGGTACCTTTTGAGATTAAGTTTAGCCCGAGAGGTGTTGATGTGACTTTGGCCTCGATCAATTGAGCCCCCCCCCTATGCCCCGGAATGGAAATTGGCTAACGAACTACGGTGAGGTCAGGAGCACCTATTGAGTTAATTATTGCATATCTTGACAGACTCCAGTTTAAGCGAGACCCCTCACGGGGTCGCAATCTTGGAATTTGACCTCATAAATCCCCAAGGAATTCCGGGCCAAATCCCATCGGGATTTGAGGATTTGACCCCCAAAACAATAAGCAATATGATAGTCATGCAAAGAATTCCTCGGGCTTGGCATTTGAGGATTTGAACCCCCCAAAACAATTATCATCATGCAACATGGCCATGCAAAGAATTCCATGCGCAGCCGTTACAATATATTGCGTATGTTCGAGCGGCATATTATGCTCGTGCCAGTCAGTCCTCGTGCTGCATGCCCTCAAACTCACTTTTAGTTAGACTAGTATTAGAGTCATTCCGTCAAAGCCGGTGCTCGCCGCAAAGAGTGATGGACAACCCAGATGAGGAGTGACGGACAACCCAGATCTGGGCTGTCACACCTCTAGAGGTGCGAATTTACTTTTCAGCTTGGATGCCATGTAGGCCCCTTGGCCAAGGGGCCTACAGGCAACAGATTATACATAGCAATGATAGTGGATTAGCTCATCAAGATAGCAACGATGACTGCATTACTATGCAGAAGTGATGGACCTTACGTGAGATGGGGCCGATCAACCCCCAGTGGGACGCCGCCGACTGAATAACGGAGCCGCTGTGAGCACGAACAGGTGCTTATGTACATTGGAAGGTCTTAGTACGGTGCACAGGCGTGAGCGGGAGGGCTCCATGCAGCGGGTTACACAGGCCAGGAGCCTTGTTCGCACCTATTTGCGCCTTTTGTGTGGTGCCATCTTGTGTTTTTTTGTTTTGTTTAGTAACGAAACGTGAATGATGCGTCGTCAGCAGGCTTCCAGCGGCCGGCACCCCAAGGTTTATCTCAGTCTGAGATACCCTTCCCCCATGGCTGGGTTTGTGGTGTGTTCGGAGGAGTGGACGGGTCAGCGGCACCCTGGTTTGCAGACCGGCGGAACCTGTAAGACCCATGGGTCTGTTAAGCTTTTAAGGTTTCTACCCCTCCTGAGGGACCTTATTACGGCGAGCCCTTAATTCTGTAAATTACGGCCAGGTCCAATCTTAATTACGTAATTACGTAACCTTAATTCCTTAAAACGTAAAAACGTAAAACGTAAATTCGCATCCCTAATCTCAGACAGGTAACCACACCAGCGTGCCATACCTGGCCAGTGGACCCTCGCGTCCATGCAACAACGGCACTGGATCTTCAAGGTGATACACCATGGACCTTACGGGTGGATTGCTATGTGCTTTCATCCGGTTCGTGGTTGGGTGCCCATCTCCCTTGCAATTGATAATTGAGACTGTTGCTGCTGGCTGTAGGCATGGACGCCTCGGGACCGCAACAGCAATGCAAGCCCCAGCCAGGAACCTCTGTCATCAAGATCTCGTCCAATAGCAGCAATGATGACAATGACAACGATGGTGGGTTTGTGTCGCTCAGTGCAGCATCACCTCACCATGCCTTGTGCCTGCTGTTGCCAGGTGTTGCACACCTTAGGCAGGATCTTCACACCACTACCAAGCTCAGCATGCTGTTGGAGATTCCCCACATTTGAGCTGCTTTGCAGTCTTATCTGTCATGTCTGTCACGGTATCCGCAAATGTGAAGGCATCAAGCGGGAAGTACAAAAGGCTGCTATTGGATTGGTTTCTAGTCCAACTAAAAGTGAGTTTGAGGGCATGCAGCGCGAGGACTGACTGGCACGAGCATAATATGCCGCTTGAATATATGCAATATATTGTAACGGCTGCACATGGAATTCTTTGCATGGCCATGTTGCATGATGATAATTGTTTTGGGGGGTTCAAATGCTCAAATGCCAAGCCCGAGGAATTCTTTGCATGACCATTATATTGCTTTTTTTTTGGGGGGTCAAATCCTCAAATCCCGATGGGATTTGGCCCGGAGTTCCTTGGGAATTCATGAGGTCAAATTCCGAGATTGCAGCGGGCATAGTATGCTAGATGGAAACTGTGACTGTGGGACAGAGGTCACAAATTTACATAATGCCAAATGAACGGGCTACAGAGCCCATGAGCCTGCATAGCTAAAGAAACGTTATTGCTTTAACTAGTTTAGCAAAGGGCTTCACGCATGAGCACCTGCCGATGATGATGACAGGACTTCTTCCAAAAGCACCGAAATGCATAGGATTGTTGTGGGCTATATATAGCACATAAAAGACATTGCATGGTCGACTAGAAGGGTGTGCTTGATGCCCCGGTCCACACTTTATGGGCCTCCAGGAGCCCCAAAACGAATAGCCTAGGATCAATCCATTGCAGATATATTTTAGGCGCTGGGCTGGTGGTCATGGAAGTGCTCGGCTGACAGACTCAACGAGATGGGCGCGGCCTGCACCGCCAAGCAGATGGCCAGGGCTGCACCCTTGCTGGACATGGCGCTCGGATACAAGGCGCCGGAGAGCGCATAGCAGCTGGATGGCTTTCAGATTGCTGATCATGGGAGCCCGGGAGGGGTGCTGTTGTTGCAGGGTAAGGTCAGTACAGGCAAACCAGGGCTGTCGGGTGACTGGAGCCATCAGTGGAGATGGATGGGTGCACCACCAGCAGTGTTTTTTTTGGTAATATATTACACTCTGGGAAAACGGGGGTCATTTTACCCGTAATTTTGGGTCAATCCACCCGTAATTTGACAGATATTACGGGTCCGTAACACGTTACGGGTCTCGTAATTTGAGCACAAGGATACAGGTGAACATTTACGGGTGAAGACCCAGTGATTACGGGTGTATTTTACGCGGTGCTGGAGGTGAAATACGGGCGCATGTAACCAATTACACGCAGAATTACGGGTGAAGACCCAATGATTACGGGTGGATTTTACACGGTGCTGGAGGTGAATTACGGTCACATGTAACCAATTACACGCGAAATTACGGGTGAAGACCCAGTGATTACGGGTGGATTTTACGCGGTGCTGGAGGTGAATTACGGGCACATGTAACCAATTACACGCGAAATTACGGGTGAAGACCCAGTGATTACGGGTGGATTTTACGCGGTGCTGAAGGTGAATTACGGGCGCATGTAACCAATTACACGCAGAATTACGGGTGAAGACCCAGTGATTACGGGTGGATTTTACGCGGTGCTGGAGGTGAAATACGGGCACATGTAACCAATTACACGTACAATTACGGGTGAAGACCCTGTTATCACGGGTTACACAGGCAGATATTACTCTGCGATGTGACGCTTACTGCATGTTAAATTAACGATTGGTGAATACTTGCGGCAAGCCTCAAAATGGACGCACACCCCTTGTCAAAGTAGCCTAAGTCTCAGTGTGCTTGTGGACCAAGGCGCTTTGGACTCACAACGCCAACCAGCCAGCCTGACAGCCTGATGCATTCATCTCAACCATCGTCCTCGAAAACAGCGTTCATGTCACCCCCCATACAGCAAGTGCTCGCCAAGGAGTCTCACCACCACTTGCAGAGTTCGTGCCTACTCCTACGGATGAAACCCCCGATGCATGACATGTACCGGCACCTATTGGGATCGGTCTGTCCCATCCTGCCTGGGGCCGACCTGGTGTGTGCACCCCCAAGCGCTCATCACTGCTGTCATGTTACTGCTCACTTCCACCACTGTCGCTGCTGCCACTGCCACTGCTGCTGCTGCTAGCTTCGCTATATTTGCCCGGGTCCTCCGAGCTGGACTCCTCCCCAGCGCCAGCGGCTAGGACCTCTTCCTCACCAGCATCCGACCCACCCTCCGAGCTACCCTCCTCTGTCCGCCCCCTCCACCCTCCCTTGCCTGCGCCGCCCTTCCCCGCACCTCT